TGGTTGGACTGTCTCTGTCCCCCTTTCCCTGTTCTCCTCTCCTGTGGTTGGACGGTCTCTGTCCTCCATTCCCTGTTCTCCTCTCCTGTGGTTGGACGGTCTCTGTCCCCCTTTCCCTGTTCTCCTCTCCTGTGGTTGGACGGTCTCTGTCCCCCTTTCCCTGTTCTCCTCTCCTGTGGTTGGACGGTCTCTGTCTCCCTTTCCCTGTTCTCCTCTCCTGTGGTTGGACGGTCTCTGTCCTCCATTCCCTGTTCTCCTTTCCTGTGGTTGGACTGTCTCTGTCCCCCGTTCCCTGTTCTCCTTTCCTGTGGTTGGACTGTCTCTGTCCCCCGTTCCCTGTTCTCCTTTCCTGTGGTTGGACTGTCTCTGTCCTCCGTTCCCTGTTCTCTCCTGTGGTTGGACTGTCTCTGTCCTCCATTCCCTGTTCTCCTGTGGTTGGACTGTCTCTGTCCCCCGTTCCCTGTTCCCCCTCTCCTGTGGTTGGACGGTCTCTGTCCCCCGTTCTCCTCTCCTGTGGTTGGACGGTCTCTGTCCCCCGTTCTCCTTTCCTGTGGTTGGGACGGTCTCTGTCCACCGTTCCCTCTCCTCCTCTCCTGTGGTTGAACGATCTCTGTTCCCTGTTCTCCTTTTCTGTGGTTGACGGTCTCTGTCCTCCATTCCCTGTTCTCCTCTCCTGTGGTTGCACTGTCTCTGTCCCCCGTTCTCCTCTCCTGTGGTTGCACTGTCTCTGTCCCCCGTTCTCCTCTCCTGTGGTTGCACTGTCTCTGTCCCCCGTTCTCCTCTCCTGTGGTTGCACTGTCTCTGTCCCCCGTTCTCCTCTCCTGTGGTTGCACTGTCTCTGTCCCCCGTTCTCCTCTCCTGTGGTTGCACTGTCTCTGTCCCCCGTTCTCCTCTCCTGTGGTTGCACTGTCTCTGTCCCCCGTTCTCCTCTCCTGTGGTTGCACTGTCTCTGTCCCCCGTTCTCCTCTCCTGTGGTTGCACTGTCTCTGTCCCCCGTTCTCCTCTCCTGTGGTTGCACTGTCTCTGTCCCCCGTTCTCCTCTCCTGTGGTTGCACTGTCTCTGTCCCCCGTTCTCCTCTCCTGTGGTTGCACTGTCTCTGTCCCCCGTTCTCCTCTCCTGTGGTTGCACTGTCTCTGTCCCCCGTTCTCCTCTCCTGTGGTTGCACTGTCTCTGTCCCCCGTTCTCCTCTCCTGTGGTTGCACTGTCTCTGTCCCCCGTTCTCCTCTCCTGTGGTTGCACTGTCTCTGTCCCCCGTTCTCCTCTCCTGTGGTTGCACTGTCTCTGTCCCCCGTTCTCCTCTCCTGTGGTTGCACTGTCTCTGTCCCCCGTTCTCCTCTCCTGTGGTTGCACTGTCTCTGTCCCCCGTTCTCCTCTCCTGTGGTTGCACTGTCTCTGTCCCCCGTTCTCCTCTCCTGTGGTTGCACTGTCTCTGTCCCCCGTTCTCCTCTCCTGTGGTTGCACTGTCTCTGTCCCCCGTTCTCCTCTCCTGTGGTTGCACTGTCTCTGTCCCCCGTTCTCCTCTCCTGTGGTTGCACTGTCTCTGTCCCCCGTTCTCCTCTCCTGTGGTTGCACTGTCTCTGTCCCCCGTTCTCCTCTCCTGTGGTTGCACTGTCTCTGTCCCCCGTTCTCCTCTCCTGTGGTTGGACTGTCTCTGTCCTCCATTCCCTGTTCTCCCCTCCTGTGGTTGGACTGTCTCTGTTCCCTGTTCCCCTCTCCTGTGGTTGGACGGTCTCTGTTCCCCGTTCTCCTCTCCTGTGGTTGGACGGTCTCTGTCCCCCGTTCTCCTCTCCTGTTGTTGGACGGTCTCTGCCCCCTGTTCTCCTCTCCTGTGGTTGGACGGTCTCTGTCCCCAGTTCCCTGTTCTCCTCTCCTGTGGTTGGACGGTCTCTGTCCCCCGTTCCCTGTTCTCCTCTCCTGTAGTTGGACGGTCTCTGTCCCCCGTTCCCTGTTCTCCTCTCCTGTGGTTGGACGGTCTCTGTCCCCCGTTCCCTGTTCTCCTCTCCTGTAGTTGGACGGTCTCTGTCCCCCGTTCCCTGTTCTCCTCTCCTGTGGTTGGACGGTCTCTGTCCCCCGTTCCCTGTCCTGTGGTCGTGTTATCTCTCCATGTCCCGCAGTGGCCCAGCTGTCATTCTGCTCTGCGAGGGTCTCTGTTCCCCCCCCCAGAATATGATAACTTGATGGCTCTTTAATTAGACGCTGGAATCTTAATCTCCTTCCCAAAATACTCTGAGCCGCCGCAGTCCGTGGCGCAGGAGTTTGCCGAAATTAAACTGAACCTGTTGCCTCTTTTTAGAACGACCCGAACGTCGCACACTGAGGGGTCACGGCAGAGAAGTTCACTCAACACTAAGTTACTATTTCTCTAGTTACCTGGAAGTTATCATTAAATCTCCACATCTTGCTGTTCCATATTTACATTATCCCCATGAAGATTAAAATACAAACACAGACCTCAGATGAGGACAAATCTGACTTCTCATTGCCCAGCTCCAGGCCTGACAGAGAGAACGGACATCCTGGGTGCAGAGCCAAGCTTATTCTATGGCCAGACCACCCTTCTAAAGAGAACCGGTTGTGTGATTTTAAATCTGACCTCCGTCCTTCCCTTCAGTCTTCTATCTGACCTCCGTCCTCCCCTTCAGTCTTCTATCTGACCTCCGTCCTCCCCTCCAGTCTTCTATCTGACCTCCGTCCTCCCCTTCAGTCTTCTATCTGACCTCCGTCCTCCCCTCCAGCCTTCTATCTGACCTCCGTCCTTCCCTTCAGCCTTCTATCTGACCTCCGTCCTTCCCTTCAGCCTTCTATCTGACCTCCGTCTTTCCCTTCAGCCTTCTATCTGACCTCCGTCCTCCCCTTCAGCCTTCTATCTGACCTCCGTCCTCCCCTTCAGTCTTCTATCTGACCTCCGTCCTCCCCTTCAGTCTTCTATCTGACCTCCGTCCTCCCTTCCAGTCTGGCACAGTTGTACCGGCTCCTCTGATGTCACTGCACACTATGAACTTCTCACAGTATGCATTAGAAGCTGCAACAACTCGCATAGAGCCCGCCTCCTTTCCTGGCTGGAGGAGGTCCAGCATCATCGAGCACTTTCCTCCCCAGACTGACTGTCCCTGGCCCCACCCCTTTCATTCATTGGATGTTCGGTCTTTCAATCATGGAATTCTTTTTCAGACTTAATCCTTCGAATGGAAATGAAGGGATTTTTTCCCGTGTCCCCGCTGTGTAGGATAATACCTCTAGATCTGTATATTCTATAAAATAATAGTAAAATGTCCGGGCCGAGCTTATAGACCAAATGAAAAACAAATGACACATTGCAATCACGGCACAGAGCGTCACCGAGCCGAATCTGGATTGCGCCGCCTTACCGGTATAGCAGGAAAAGATGCCGGGAGATGTTGCTGTGTGCCGGTGACACCTGCTGGCCGGAGCCGGGCATTACAAGTTGTGTGTGCAAAACCCTGATTGCCATCCATGCTGCGCTCGGTGCAAAGGGCTCCCACTATCGCCACCAGCGCCCGGCCACTACCCCCCCCCCCCAAACATTGTCCATTCCCAGCGGCTCCC